AAAACTCTACTTGTAAAAATGGATGATGATGAAAACAGTTCAAGAAGTTCAGGCAAAGCCAGCCAATGGTTATTCTGAATGCAGTAAATCAAACTATATGAGGATGCATATATTATCCTATGTCACTTACATTTATTTTGGTTTAATTTAATGAGCTGGGCTGTCCCTATATGCCCTGCCAACAGATACTGGATACGTGTATCACTCCTATTCACCAGAAGAGAACACGTGAAAGAACTATTCTAACTACCGGTACTCCTATGCTAAAAGAACTATCAACAGGAAGCAGAAAAGCTAATCTTCCTACCTGTCATGTGGCGACCAAAAGATGACTCAAATCCAAGACTCCACTGAGTGAAATTAAATCAACAATCCTTTGATACAGACTAGAATCTGCACACTGAGTTGGAGAAACAAAATATCCACAAAACCAGAGGCTGGTCAAAAACAACAAGAGCGGAAATATCTTAGATGAAAGGCAAGGTAGAATAAAAGCTGGATGGCATGATGCAAGTGACAAACTGGCAAACAAAAGCTGCAGAGAGAGAGGTTTAAATAGGTAACGCTAATGACAAGAAGACTCAGGTGAGCAGCGTCAGGTAGGCTGATTATAGGGGATTCACAGGAAGTTTCTGACGCAAGAACAGAGATTAGTGAACTAAAATAAAACAAAACTGCTGAGTCAGACAAGAAAACAACAAAAGTGAAAAAAGGACACTAATCTGTAGAGCTGCATGTGACACTGTACCTCCTTCTTCACTGCTAGCACCATTTGGACAACAGTAATCATTATTCTGAATGAGCTAATTTCAGAGGATGGACATTTTGCTTTACGATCTTTTCTAGTGATCTGACTTCATTTATCTAAGGCAGATAAAGCAAAGAAGAGCAGGGCAGAGATGCTGTTTTTTCTCCACCACTAATGATGTAAATAATGATCCGTGTTAATGAGAATCATTTGTGTATCCTCTGCAGGTAGAGGTAGAAGTGTGTAATCTGATGTAAAGGTGGATTCAGCAGCATGGATCAGCATGAGGACAGAGAGGAGGAAGTCTCTCCTTCTAAACGTATTCTGAGTGGGGAAGATGAGAGCCAGAGCAAAGAGAGGTAAAATTATCTTCTTTAACTGACTGTAGACCTTTTAACAGTGTTTAAACAATCAGAAAAAGAAATGGTTATGAAGCTGGTCCTGTTCCACTTTGGAGCTTCATCCAGACTGAGTCAATGTAGCTCTGCTCGGTATCAGTAGATTCTTACAAACTGCAAGTCAGCGTTGCAGGACCAACTGAGTGACACCAGCATGTTGCTTAAAGCTCTGGGTTCTAGCAGGAATCATGTGCAAAAAAAACTCCATTTTACTGTGTATTATTACTCTTCTGCCAAATGACTGAAGGGGACTATAAAGTCCAAAAACAAGGAAAAATGTGGCATTAACACAATTTGACACCAATTCCCTTTTTTTTCTTTTTGGGATTTAGGCATATTCCACATTTTATTGGTCCTTCAGCAGCTTTTAACAAGGTTATGTTCCCCACAAAAAACACAGAACCGATTCACCTACTGTCTATAGAAAATGCAACCACTTAAATAAAATATTTGCATTTATCTGCATTTTGGATGACATTTCTAGGGAAAGGTACACAATATACTTTCAGAATCATTTTCAGGGAATGTAGGCAATCTTTTGTTGATTAGTTTTGCCAAATATTTAAATATGTGGTTAATATAATATCAGAATGACAGGTTTTGCCATTATGGTTGTTGTTAAGAGTGCCTCCACTGCAGAAGGACTCAATCAAGTTAGTCACAGTCAGAGAAACAGGACTACACTGGAAAACAAGCTGATCTCCAACATCTAGAAACAAAGGTGTTGATGGCAGCAGCACAACTGATTTCTCTCCAGGATGGAGTCACAGCCAAACAGGAACAGACCACATCAGAAACAGAATCAAGTGTATTGCCAACGGGACTACATTGTCTAAAGCGGTACGCAGAGAACTAGCAACCCTATCAACAAAATCATCAACCTGTGAAGGGGAATAATCTAAACTTTTGCCCTCTGCAGCACTGCTCAGCGACACAGAGGAGAAAGAAAGTGAAAAAGATTCTTATTTGATAATGATCTGCTAAAGTGAAACCTTCTTTTGGGGAGGAGAACTCTGTTAAAGTAATCCTGAAGGTTATTGAAAAGTGGTCAGAGAGGACAGGGCTGTGAGGAAATACTGTTATTTCTTCACATTCTACGCCGTATGTCAAGATCCAAAGTATGAAGATGAGAATGTGTGGGACTATTCACATTTTGAAAAAGCCAATCATATTTAAGACAGCATTAAAGGCTGCTTTTAAGCTGACAGCTTTAATGTCATCATGGATGTTAAAATTCCCCACTATGATGACATTTTGCAATTTAGGTGACAGAAACTAAAAGTTAAATGTTCAAAAGTGTTTGTAATTATCAACTGCCTTTGGAGTAATCAGTAAGTCAGTCTGAAAGATTGCTGCTACTCCTCCTCCTCGCCCAGAATTTCTGGGTATGTGAAAATGTTAATAAGTAGAAGGAGTTGCATCATTTATGCTCACATAATCCTCTTGCTGCAGCCAGGTTTCCGTAAGGCAACATAAATCAGTGTGATTATCACAAATCAAGTCATTAACTGACTTTTTGAGGAAAGAAATCTTAAATTAAATAAACCACATTTAATCGTTGTAACTTTTTTCCCAAATTGGAGTTATTTTTGTTAGATTATCATGATTTACTCCTTTGGGATTCTTTTCTAATTTATTTGATTTTGGTTGTGGGAAAGACACTGTCTGGATGGAGTAAAGAGTGGGTAACAGTAGAGAAGCTGCAGAGACGTATGTTAAACTCCGTCACTAATGGCTCATTTTTTCAACTGTCGGCTGACAGGAAAGGGGGTATGAGAGAGGGGGAGAGACATCCGGGAAAGGACCACAGGCCGGATTCGAACCCAGGTCGCCCGTATGGAGGACTAAGGCCTCCGTATGCACACCCTTAATATTATATATATGGGATGAAATCAAGTGAAGCACCAAAGTAATAGAATGAAAATGTCGTGATAATTATTTGGATGGCAAAAAGTCATTAAAGAATATTTTTTTAAGTAGAACCACTATTGCAAATGTCATAATTTCTTACAAATCATCATTTTTGAGGTGGGCCTAAATAAAAAAAACAAAAAAAAACCTAAAAGTTTCTTTCATTCAAACTGTGTTTCATACATTTCTTACCCCCCCAAACAGATTATCAGCACAGTAAACACTAGAACTCCCGAGGCAGTGATTTTCTGATTTTGAAGTCGACATGTTAGCCAGGAATGCTAAGCTAAAGTACTTTGGTTTTAATCAGTAAAAAAGCTGTTTCAATGAAAGATATTTCTATGACTTTATGGAGAGAAGACTATAAAGAGTATTTTAATGGTACTTTTCTTTCCACCAGGATCCACGAGCAAAAGAAACATAAACATCTTCCAGAACCAGGATCCAGCTGTGTGTCATTTAAGAGCAACATGTCAAAGGATAAAGAAATATGTTTTCAGTCTGAATCTGCATCCCAAGAAAGGTGAGCTGTAGCTAACGGCTGTAACAATGGAAACTGAGTCAGCATCAGTCAGTTGTGAGTCAACTCAGGCTGATTTAGTCAATTATTTCAATTTTTGGTGACTGCCCAATTTCAAACAGTGTCATTTTGGGAAAATTAATTCTGTGGAAAATGTTAAATTAAATTAGCATATTTTCGAGAGAAATAGGAACCGTTTCGGATCGTTCTAAAATGCTTTGCCTATCCGTTGGTCCAGAATCAGGTCGCAAAGGTAGCAGCCTTAGTAGGGAGGCTCAGAGTTCCCCCTTCCAGGACGTTTGGGCCAGCTCCTTCCGAGGAATCCTAAGGTCTTCCCAGACCACCTGGGAAACATGTCCCTCTAGTGTGTCCTGGGTCACCTCTGGGATGTGCATTAAATCCTCACCAGGGAGTCGTATTATGGTTCATAATAAGTCTGCGCTATGATATTTTATTATTTGCTTATTTATTTATTTTTATTAGTAATAAAAAATATACAATGTGTTTTCTATCTTGATATGGACATACAAAATGCCAATTTTCTATCTCCATGCTAAGCCAAACTGGAAAGCAAGTGTTGGACCAGCCAGTCAAATCTCATATCCAATTCTATGAGGAGAGATCAACATGTTAGTCAGCAATGTAAAGTACTTTGGTTTTTAGCGGTAAATAAGCTGTTTCAATGAATTTATGGAGAGAGGACTATAAAGTGTTTCAATGGTAGTTTTCTTTCCACCAGGATCCACGAGAAAAAGAAAAATAAACATCTTCCAGAACCAGGATCCAGCCTTGTGTCATTTAAGAGCAACATGTCAAAGGATAAAGAAATATGTTTTCAATCTACTGAATCTGCATCCCAAGAAAGGTGAGCTGTAGCTAACGGCTGTAACAATGGAAACTGAGTCAGCATCAAACGTTTTTATTCTAACATATCTTTAACATGAACTAAGCTTTTGCCCATATTTCAAGAAGTGAGTGTTTGTAGTTCCCCACAACCGCAGTAAAAATTAGAATTTGATTTTGCTGGATTCGCTCTGAAAAATGTTACATCATTTTTAACAGCTCTGATTTTTTTCCCCTAATAATTGAATGCGTGTATATTTAGAAGACACTCTATCTCTATCTCTTTCTCTCTCCCCATAGTCATCTCCATTTATTTTTCCGTGTCCATTGTAAAAAACTTTACTCCCTAAATTATTTTAAGTAGAGTTTCATATTAGTTGTGTTCTTTTAAAGTAGACTATTGACAGTGAAAGTCAAGGTGATGCGTTGTTCTATGAGGAGAGATCAACATGTTAGTCAGCAATGTAAAGTACTTTGGTTTTTAGGGGTAAATAAGCTGTTTCAATGAATTTATGGAGAGAGGACTATAAAGTGTTTCAATGGAAGTTTTCTTTCCACCAGGATCCATGAGCAAAAGAAACATAAACATCTTCCAGAACCAGGATCCAGCTTTGTGTCATTTAAGAGCAACACGTCAAAGGATAAAAAAATAGATTTTCAAACTTCTGAATCTCCATCCAGAGAAAGGTGAGCTGTAACTAACTACTGTAACAAATGTTTTTAATCCAACATATTTTTAACGTGAATTAAGCTTTTTCCCATATTTCTATGCCAAAAGGTAAGTGTTTAGAGTTCCAAACAACTACATAAGTGAAAGTGTAGATGTGAAAAAATAGAGAGCTGGGACTGGTATTCCTAGATTTCAGAGCCTTAACCTGAGTTCATGTTCACGTTCATGTCCATCCCCGCTCTCCTCATCCTCTGCAGAAAGTACAAGCTCTTCTGTGCCCTTTTGACCAGTGAAGTGGTGTTTCCAGTCCAGGTGAGGGTGTCTGTGATGTGCATCCCCAGGAATTTGGTGCTGCTGACCACCTCTACAGTTGAGCTGTTGATGAGTAGTCGAGTGTGGGGAGCCTGTGCTTAGGGTGATGACATCAGAGGCGTTCTGTCCAACCAGAACTGACTGAGGTCTGTCTGCGAGGAAGTCTAGCAGCCAATAGCAGAGGGGTGTAATGAAGCCCAGCTATTCCAGTTTGCCCATCAGATGCTGTGGGATGATGGTGTTGAAAGCTGAACTGTCCAGGAACAGCATCCATACCTGGGTGTCCTTCTCCTCCAGGTGTGCCAGGCTCAGGTGAAGAGCGGAGGAGATGGCGTCCTCAGTGGAGTGGTTTTGTCGGTAGGCGAACTGGAATGGGTTGAATGATGGGGGGAGACTGGAGACCATATGTTCTTTAACGAGCCCTTTGAAGCACTTCATCGTGATAGGAGTCAGTGCTATAGGCCGGTAGTCATCGAGTGAGGTGACCTAAGACTTCTTTGGGACCGGAATGCTGGTGACAGACTCAAAGCATGCTGGTACTATACTGGTGCAGCAAGGTGTTTAAAATGTCTGTGAGGACACCACCCAGCTGACCTGGACACTTCTTGAACACTCGCCCAGGTATGTTATCGGGGCCTGGAGCTCCTTCAAGGCAGAGTGCCTCCACTCCCTGATGGGGAACAGCTTTCACTGCTTGAGGGCTGTTTAGTGCCTCAAACCTTCAGAAGAAGTTGTTTAGTCCATTTAGGAAGTCAGCATCAGCTACACCGACCGGGGACAGGGTGTGTTGTAGTCTGTCTGTCTGTACAATCAGTACATGTCCTTTTGGATTTTCCTTCCTTTAATATTTCCACATCCCCGTATTTCCCTTGGTTTTGCACTGAGCATTATTCATTTCATCCACTGATACTAAGTGATATGAATATTAACTTACTTATTTACTTTTTGAATACATCACATGTAGCTATATACAGCCACTCCATAGTCCATGTGACCCTCCTCTTTGGGAGGTCCCATCTGGTCCATGTTTTCTGGGTTGCCAGCTCCACAGCCTTAGCTATCAGTGTATCCTCCTCCTGGTGACGAACTTCGGCTTGTACCATCTCCTGCCTCTGCTGGACACTTGCCTTCCTACATTGTGTGAAGTGAGATGTTTTCAGTCCTTGCCAACCCTTGCAGACACTACCAATGATGTCTCTCAACTCCAGGGAGCTCTCAGCTTTTCTGACTGCAGTGTCTGCTGCCCACTTATGGCCTGTTCATGTTGTGACTCCTGCATTGCTTACTTGCTTGTCCTTTGAGTCTCTGAGCATCATTGCCACCATGCACTTGGCCTCCTTGAACTCCTCCACCACAGAGGAAAATGGAAGTTGGATCTTTCCTAATCTAATGTAGAGCCCAACTGCAGTGAAGCTGGGAGGGATACCAAGCCACCGCCTCAGATGCTTGTTCACTCTCCTCTCCACCCCTTCCACTGGGATTTGATAAACTGTCAGATGCCACATAAGCCTTGGTAGGAGACCATGCTGGTATATCCAGGTCTTGAACTTGCCAGGTAGGCCAGGTAGGCCTGACTTCAAGCCTCTTTAGCCACTTGTCTGCCTGATTTGCAGTGTCAGAGATGTTGTTTCTGTCACTGAGGGTGTTGTCGTACCACTTCCCCAGGCATTTAATGGGGTTCTCCCTGATTGTAGGGATTTGCTCGCCTTGGACATGCAGTTTGAAAGCCTCTGTTAGTTTCCCCTTATCACCATGCTCCGTGACTTCCTCGGCTTAAAAGCCATTCTCACCCATGATGCTAAATCACTGAGAGTCTTCAGGATCCACCTTGCCTGCACATGCGTTGTGGTTGTTATGGTGAGGTCATCCATGAATCCTCTCAGTGGGTTGTCTGCTCCCTGCTGCCGTAACTGGTCCCTTGGCCTCTGCTGCTGCTGTAATCAGGAGGTTCATCCCCATGATGATCAGAATGGGGGGTACTGTGCATCTTTTTACAATGCCTCCAGTTGCTGCCATGCAGTGGTGAACTTGGCAGTCTAGAACTGCAGCTTAAATGACCCCAGGTAGCTGTTAATTATCTGCCTGATCTTGTCGGGGATGTGGTACTGCTCCATAGTCTTGTTGATGAGGGAATGGGGCATGGACCCATATGAATTTGCAAGGTACAGCCAGACAACTGTTAGGTTGCCCTTGCTCCCCCTGGCCTCCTGGATCAGATGGCTGATGATGGTGATGTGTTCCAGGCATCCAGAGAACCCTGGAATCCCCCCTTCTGAATCGAGGTGTTGACGTATCCATTTACTGTCATGTAGTTAGTTATTCTTCTCGCCAAGACTGAGAAAAAGATCTAAGCTTGTACACTCAGCAGAGAGATGGTGTGGAACTGGCTGATCGCAGAAGAGTCCTTCTCCTTTGGCATGAAGCAGCCCTCTGACACTCTCCAGGTAGTTGGTATGTTGGCCTTTGCCCAGGTTGTCCGGAGGAGCTCCCAAAGTCTACGTAGTAGAAGTGGACACTCCTTGTACACTTTGTAAGGCAACCCGCTTGATCCAGGGGCTGATGATCCTAATAAGGTTTTAGTAAGCCTATAGGGGTCTTTGATGAATTGCACCCTCTTTCCCCTCTTCTTCTTTCTCTGCTTCCGTGTCTGCTCCGCCCTTCTCAGCCTGCGAAGCTGCTCACGAAGTCCTGATTTTAGGTCTCCAATTCCCTCTTTTTCCCCTTCAGTGGAATTCTTGAACTGCCTGGATAGTGCCTTTATCTCTTTCTGCAAGCTCTGGATCTCCTTCTCCCTCCGATTTGGTTGCTGGGCATTTGGAGTGCTGGTCTTCCTCTCCTTGACACCAAACCGCTCCTTGGCCACATTGTAGATGATTGCCATCATCGTTGCCATCTTCTGTTCTGCTGTCCCTACAAGAGCAGTTTCAAGAATCTTACACAGGTCCTCATCCAGCTGCTGCCACTCATTGTTGCTGTTCATTTTCGGGCCATTTTATTCTTTACTTAGAAGGTTGGGGTTGCCAGGAGGCAACAGAGTTGACCACTGTGTGGTTGAAGGGCAAAGCCGTTGCCCAGAGATCTCCAGTTCTGTGGGGTGCCTCCTGACTGGGGTTCTCCTGCATCTGACATGGTATTGCCTCCCTGCGCTGCAACAAAATTGCCTCCTCTCCACACTTGGTCTTGGCTTGATGGATCTTTAGCCCTCTGGTGTTCTTGCATATCCTGCCACATTGGCATCGCACTTCTGGTGCCATCCCTGTCAGTGTGGTGTGGGTGCGCCTTCTCATTAACCGTGTGTCAGTCCTGGTCTGTACCGATGTTTCCGTCCTTGCGAGTCTCTCATCCTCACCCCCTCTCGGGAGACTATGGGGTTTTGCTCATTGTGGTCATTCGTAGCTTGATTTGGTGCCCTCTTGCGAGTGCTGTACATAAGCTTGCTAGCCTCATGCACCCATGCCAGGCTTTCCTGGAGGTCAGCTGTCTCTCCAGCATCACCGATCTTCCTCGGTTGGCATCCGGCCTTTCCTGGACGTCACTGGCTGCCCAGAATTTACTTATTGAATACATCACGTGATGCTATACATACAGCCACTCCCTAATGTGACTGTGGTTGGCTTTTTGGCCTGGAGCTGGTGTCATCAGACTTAAAAAGGCCACCAGCTGTAATGATCAGAACAGATGGACCCAGAATTCAAACCACACAACCAGTGTGAAAGCATAACACAGTTTATTGAAACAAAACTGCTGCAGGTAGTGTCAGCCACTAGGGCAGGAATCTGTGGAGACGGAGACAGAAAATTAATGACCAGGTTAGGTTTACGATGTGCATGAATCACAAACAAAATGTCACTAACCTTCTCTTAGCTCTCAGTCTGGGAAGAACCACAAGGTTAGGTCCGAGCCAGTTAACAGAAGAGCGGATGTTGCTGTCACTGGTCAAGAGGTCCCAGAGAATAACTCCAGCTGGGTTACGATGATCCATGGTCAGGCAGAGAGTGAGAACCATGATGACAGGAGGAACAGAAGGACAAAACAGAAGCCGAAGTTGGCAGGGTCATAGCCAATGAAGCAGCACAGGGAAATTCAAGACGAGGTCCGGAAACAGTTCCAGGTTAGGCAACAGGCAAAAAGACAAGCTGAGATCATTAAACCAGCTCCAACACGACCCTGATGGATTAAGCAGGAAAACATGATGCAAGCTGCAAACCTGTCATTTACTATTGAATGAACAAGCAGCGACGTTGTTGTGTTGAAAAATAATAAAACGTTTTCACATTGGGAATATTTTTTCAGACATTTTTTTTCTTCTCTACGTGCTTCATACGGTTGAGAGTGGAAAATGTAAGATATTTATATCATTATTTCTTAGACTAAATCCTGCTGTTTCTTACTTGGACCAGCAGGATCAGTAAACCTTGAGCACAACAAGCAGTAAACTAATTTAGATATAAATTTATGGAATTTTTTTGTCTGTGTGTGCACTGCGAAAAGGTGACCTTATTTTTACCCGGTTCCTCTACAGAATGGACCAGCAGAGCTCAGAGTTTACCAGCGGTGTGTCTGACCAGCAGCATCAAACTCACCTGGACTCAGTATTCATGGTCTGTAAATCCACCACAACTTTTACTTTGGTTCTGTTTACAGTCATCTTCGTCCTGCACTTTATGGAACATTGGACAGTCAGTCTTTCCAACATGGCTCAATGATTTTAGTCTGTGTATTTTACACTTTCTCAATGTCCTGTTCCAGCTGCTGGAGGATTTAATTTGCACTTTTGTAAAGAATGAGCTGAAGAAGATCCAGAAGATTCTTTGTACAGATCAGCAAGAAACCGCAAAGAGTCAAAGAGATAATGAGGACTTGAAGGGCATGAATGGCGAGCAAAATAGAAGCAGCAGAGAGGCACTGATGAAGATCACAGTGAACTTCCTGAGGATGATGAATCAGGAGGAGCTGGCTGACCATCTGCAGAGCAGTAAGAGGGTCTCAATAGAGATTTAACCTGATGGATAAATCACATTTCCTAAAGTCTGAAGATATGGAAACATATTATTGCAAAATAATAAGATGGCTTCATTTTCTTCCTGTTATTTGACATTTTCTTTTAGAATTCTTCTGTCAAGAAGAACTTAAATCTGTTCTGAAGCAGAAGTTCCAGTCTGTGTTTGAGGGAATCGCTAAAGCAGGAAGTCCAACCCCTCTGAACCAGATCTACACAGAGCTCTACATCACAGAGGGAGGAACTGGAGAGGTCAATGATGAACATGAGGTCAGACAGATTGAAGCAGCATCCAGGAAACCAAACAGACCAGAAACAATAATCAGACCAGAAGACATTTTTAAAGTCAGACCTGGAAGAGATCAACCAATCAGAACAGTGATGACACAGG